TAAACCCTGACGGAAGGGTTAGAGGTTAGAAGTCAAAATGGTGAAAACTGCTTTCATCGCTCCGCCTACCCTTTGAGAACAGGAAGATGACTTCTGAGCATAATTCATAATGGCAACATTCAAGGAAACCTGATTTATACCAACGATGTAAAGCACTGTCTAACATGTTTAAGCGTTTCAGGTGCTCCACAGAAAAATGTCAAGGTAGCATAAACCGGCGCACAAACGAAGCCGAAAGCGAACCAGCTGGTTTAATCCTTGATGGAATGTTGTGGCCTTTGATCTGCAGTCAAGGACAACCACCAATCGATCATGTAATTTCAGCGTAATGGCTGTCACCAAGGTCAGAGTTCGATCGATGTCTTGCAATCATAGTCAACTGGTTCAGTGATTAAAGTTTCGGAATCGCTTTGGTACCAGCCAGGTTCAAGGTCAAGTTACGTTTCAACAGGCTCAACTACATGCACAATTATACAAGGGCGAAATCGTCTTGACCACACACCGGAAGAGGAAATTATAAAAAGGTTCTGCTTTAAATAAAACATCGTCATGAGAAATAATGAACTGATTTTAATATAACAGTGTGAACTGCTGAGATCAACGGAAATAAATTAATCACGAATAATTTTTGGCAGTTAATAATTAGTTAATAATTTTAGTTCGGTTACTTGGTTACGAAAAGAAGAGGAGCAACTTCCAACTATCCCGACACTCAGAATAGAATAGTAATTGTACGGATTTGTCAGTTAACCGGAAGAGAAGAAACTTATCGTAATTAATCTATCTGAGAACGCAAATCATTTGTACATATTTTTATTACCCTCTGTGCATCTTAAATTTTTTGATCTGTCATGGGACATTTTGTGCTAATAGAAAACATTGTCGCTCAAGCTTATGAACTTGATTGACTGGTCGAAAAGGAAGAATAAGTCAGTTCGTTTGAGCAACACAATTCCCAGTTTCATAGTATCTTCATTACACAAAACAATACACCAAACAACAATAAAAAGCAATTATAAACGCACACGCTGAAAATCGCGGATTGACACTAGCGACAATAATAAAAAAGAGATGAAGCGCATGGATAACGTAATTAATTAAATATTTTGGGCAGGCGGTTGAATTAATGGGGGTTTGTTGTACACAAAATTGTCAGGAAAACACATTAAATATAAAGTTTAAGTCAAGTATATTATAAAGACCCTGGAGTGTACAGTACGCGACAGGAAGGTCACGACTTCGGATGGTCAAAGCGCAACAGTTTCACCAAAGAAAATATTTGACTGAACAGACGCGCCAAGGAAGCACTGCTCAGAGTCCAGCCCTGCGGCGATGGCAAATGAATCAAAGGATACGAATGGGGGGGGGCGGATTAAGTGAGGTTTGTAGCTCCTGTTGCGGTAAAACTAC